ATATATATATATATATATATATATATATATATATATGTAAATATATATACATATATATATATATATATATATATATATATATATATATATATATATATTTATATATATAATATAATATATATATATATATATATTATATATATATATATATATTAGGTAGGCGGTGATGCCTACAAAATTATATTTTTCATCTCACAGTTCAAGCTGCCCAGGCCTCTATGATCCATATTGGAAAATTAGATCAATCAAAAATGACCCAAAAGGAATATACAATAAATAAAAACATCTCACAGGTCAAAAGAGAGGAATTTACTGGCGAATCATATGTATTCTTTTAAAAAGAAAAACAAAAAATGGAATACCAGATATACCAAAATAGATAATGAAGTTAATTAAAGTCGCAAAGTATTCAAGGATTAACCCAAAAATTTTCTTTCGTGTACGTAGGAGTGAGACTAGGGAAAAATAGGCCGACTTAATAATTGCTCAGGTTAGCAATATTCAGCATTTATTTTCTCTCAGATTTTAGGCAGGAAGATAGAAAAAGACATTCCAGGCCGATAAATAAGTTATGCACGTTCAAAGTAACTAGTGACATGGTTCTCAGAAAAATTGATAGATTAAAGCCAAACAAATCCCTGGGCCCTGATAAATTGTTCTCAAGGGTTATTAAGAAATGTAATTGAAACTTAGCAAACCAGTCTGTTCAACATATCATTACACACTGGCACAGTGCCAGATAAGTGGAAAATGGCAAAGTGAAAATTATCTACAAAGCAGGTCGTTAGCTTCGAATTTTAAATCAATTGTCCTAACCTCCAACTGCCTAGGCTAATCGAAGCCACCTTGAAAGACCTAAATTGATCAATGAATCTCAACACAGTTTTAATAAAGGGCGTTCCTGCTTTACGATCTTACTAACTTTTCACTAAGGTATTTAAGTTTTTGATAGAATTCCACATCGGAGGTTATTGAGGAAAGTAAAGGCAAATGAAGTAGGAGTAGATTCATGGTTGAGAGGCAACAAAGACTTTGCATAAATGGGGAAAAATCTGTGTGGAGGAGCGTCGCAAGGGGTGTTCTACAGGGGTCAGTGTTGGGCCCTTTGTTGGTCAAAATATACTTAAACGACATAGATTAAGGAATAAATAGCGACATGAGCAAGCTGGCCGACGACATCAAAACAGACCGTCGGAATAATTTTGATGAGTATAGTAAAGCGCTACAGAAAGATCTGAACTGCCTGCTGCAGTGGTCGGAGAAGTGGCAGATGCAGTTAAATTTAAAAAGAGAATAACCAACGCACATATAAAATAAATAATTTTGGATTTTAATCACTCTAAATGAGAAAAATTATTTAGGAATTCTGGTTAACAGCAATGGGTTTAAATTGGAAAAAAAATGGTTTTAGAAAGCATTTAAAAAATCATTGATTTGGTAATAGATTTGTGGAAGAAATTCCCGAGTAGTACTATTGAGTAACTTTAAAAATAGGTTAGACAAGTGTATGAATGGGTGCGGGTTGGTGTGAGCTGAACCTGCCTAGATTGGGCCAGTAGCCCTGCTGCAGTGCTCTTTCTTATGTTCATAAGTTTAAAATGTAAAATTTCAGTTCAGTATTTAAGTTACCTCTCAGTTATTAAGCTGAATTAACTAACATTTCGATCATTTAGTTTTTCTTTTTAATTTCATGAAAAACTTTGGAAATTTAGACAAATTAAGTACATTATTCTAATACCTGAAATTGAAAAATAAAAAAAAATATGCATATGTAAATTAATAGCTCAAATTAACTTGGTGTATTTCGGTTGCTCTGCGAGCCAAAGAAGGTATGACAGTGTTCCATAATTTTAGTCTCATATGCTTCAATGAACGTGACTGGAATAGTGTAGAGTGCGGCATAAGTTGATAATGCTCTTAAATATTAGTGTTCAAGATCTGAAGTAAATCAGAAGCGACATTTTTAAGGCATCATATGGAAGCTAATGTTTTTTTTTTTAATTGTGAATTATGACATATATGTACAAATCTAATCAAACTTTTAAATGTAACCAATATCCTAAAATGCTGAGAAGGTTCTTTATTAAGTTATGAACGTGAAAAGTAAATTTGTGGACCTAACATCCACCTCCTTCTGTCATGTCACTTATAATTATTAAGTAATTAATCCACTAATTAATGACTTCACTAATTACATCCAGTTCGATCAAGGACCAACGGGCAAGTATGTGGAAAATTAAAATTAAGCTAATCATATGTGGCGGTATTTAAATTTTATCAATTTCGTTCAGAAAAGCGAATTGGAACCTTTGGTATATAAAATCAATCTAAGCTTAGCTCTAAGTAAGATTGACTGGCTTTGAAGAAAGTTTTATCTATGCTTAATTTCCATAACATACAAATGTTTAAGAATGTTTGTTCTTGAGTACACACAGATGTTATAGTCACGTATTTGAACCATAAAGTGATTTGAGCTAAGAAAACCAAATTTAGACAAGCAATGCGAATTATTACTGAACAGAAGAGACATTCATTAATTATTTAACGATAACTTATTTAATTAACAAAATTAGTATGCAATACCTTATTCAATCTAACATCAAGAGAATGTTTGTCTTGAGGAAAGCATATCAGCATTAAATATTTAAAGCTGACCAGAAGATGAATTTTTCGGTAGTTGAACAAAATCCAACAAAATTTGTGCCTATGCAGTCTTAGCCCAAGAAACGTTCCATCTGTTGCATTCGATCCATTAGTTATGGAACATTGATGTCGTTCAGAATTTTGTTATATTTAACTCTGAAGAAAACGCCCTGTTAAATGGGAGACATTGAAATTTAATTAAACCCATGAGACGATAATAAACTTTATTTGCTCAAGTACATGTTACAACTTTTACACACCTAGTTGACACCATTGGCATACTATATAGAAAGTTCCTGGTAATTCAAAGCATTTCGTGTAACTTAGGTTATTCGTGTCTCCCAGGATGCGACCCACAATAGTCAACTAATATCCAGGTACCTAGTTACTTACTGCTAAGTGAACAGGAGCAGCAGATGTAAGGAAACTTGCCCAGCCTTTCTCCTGTGCATGGTATTTATCCTAGACCTTAAGTGTGTGAACTGAGAACACTATTAACCAAGCTACGAACAGTACCTTGGATCAAGAGCCCCTCACCAGCAGAAAGGGAAATTAATCTAATAATATATAATGTTACTATACTATTTCACGTGACAAAAATGGCCAATCAGAGAAGTCTTTCTCCTCTTAACACACGGTACCCAAAAAGGAGTAATAGTCTATGTAACATTGTGCACTGGTCACTCACGCATGGTAATAGTGCTATAAATTTTTGCGCGATATATTAAACAATCTTCGAAATTTTGAATCCGAATAAAAAAGGTGTTTTTGAGTAATAAATGAAAATTCCCGATAAATCGAACGAATATGTTTCGAAAATAATATTTTGAAAAATAGTTAAGTCTCCCTTTGTTAACTTAAACATGCCACTAATTCGCGGATTTTCTACCCAGTTTTCATTTCCAGTTTACATTCAGTTCACAATTATCTACAAATTTGAAAAAAAAATATGATTTTTTTTTTAATTTAATTTGATATAACTGGCAAATAAAAACACACTGGGGAAAAAATTACCAATATTTTACACATAAAATAGTCAGCTCTAGTCCTACACATGTCAATTTCAATCTCTATCTTCATCTTATTTATTTTAACTTTTGTGAACGTTTGGAGCTCTGCCACTGAGGATTTTGGAGGTTATCTGTGTTGTTCCTGGATGCTGGTAATGGGTTCAATAACTTTGGTCATAGGTCACGTGAATATTCTGTTTCTAAAATTTGATCGTCATTACCTCGTGTTAAAATTTTAAAGCTGACTGGATGACGCGTTCTCGAGTTATGTGAAAATTAAAATCGAAAAGTAGAAAGAAGAAAAAAAAATCAGACAAACTCATACAGGTATCCTTTCGGGGATATATAAAAAAAATCTCAAATTGGCGTTGAGGAATATCAACATCTACTCATTTTCGGAAGTTAATCTATTCCCATGATCCTCTACTTCTTAGTTTAACATCTTCATTATGAACCCTATTTCCTTCCAGTGGTCGGCAGTCAAAAGATTACAGAGGCAAATAATGGGTCCAGGGAAAAAGTAGGGTGAACTAAAGTATTTACTGGCCAGGTTTACCCAAGAGGGAAAAACTATTACATTGTTTGTTTGTGTTTATGGATTTGAGGCATATATGTGAGTTCACACTCACATATATGCCTCACTTATATATGGTTACAGGGGTCATGTCATAGCACCTGGCCCCCGCGCCTTCGCTACTCGCTACTAGGTCCTGTCTTCATGGTACCTCTTCATAAAGCTACTTCACTCTCCTGATTCTTTCACTTCCCAACAACTCTAAGGCTGAAGAAATACTTCCTAACATCCCTATGACTCATCTGAATTTTTAACTTTCAGTTGTATCTACTTGTTCCTGTGTCCCATTTTTGAAACATCCTGGTCCTGTCCATCTTATCAATTCCTCTCAGTATTTTATACGTAGTTATCATGTCCATCCTGACATCCCTACTGTCTCAGGTTGAGTTCCCTTAATTTCTCCTCATAGGATATAACCCTTAGCTCCGGGACTAGTCTTGTTGCAACCTTTTGAACCCCTTCCAATTTCTCGACTTGTTTGACCATGTGGGGGTTCAATACTGGTGCTGCATACTACAATATGGGCCTGATATACACTGTGTGCAGTATCATGACTGGCTCCTTATTTAGACGTCGAAACTCTGTTCTTAGGTTTGCCAGGCGCCCATACGGTGCAGTAGTTATTTGGTCTTTTTTGTCCTTTCCCAAACTTCATGACTTTGCACTCGGTAGTGTTAAACTCCCGGAAGCCATTTGTCGGACTAGGCCTGCAGTTTTCCCAGATCCCCTTGTAGTAATACTTGATCCTCATTCGTTTATAATCTCCTCATTAGTTTCACATCATCAGCGAACAGTGACACCTCTGATGGGAATTTGGATGGTGATGGGATATGTGATCAGAGCAGGAGAGTGGACCAGGAGCTATGTAGCGGCGAAGGAGTTGGCTGGCTTTGTTGATGATGATGATGATGTCAGGTTTGCCACGGTCTCTGTGATAGAAGAAAGTATTAAAGTCTGGACCAAGTGGATGAGATGTTCCTGGCTGATCAATTAGTTGAGCTGTATAACGTGTGGGTTGGTGTTGTTGTCACAGAAGGCAGTGTGTGTGGCTTTAAATTCGGCGACAAGACAGACTGGAAAGTTAGAACAGTTGAAGAGTAATGTTTTATATGCTGTGTTTCTAGTTGTTTGTATATCATATGAGTGAACAAGGACCCAGGACAGGTAAGTTTCCTAATAAAATGTCTTAAGTGTTTGCTCACGTCTGTTATTTCTCATGTCAGTATCATATAACTAGTTGTTAAAGGATAATATTGTTGTAGGAAGCGCGGGAGAGAATAGTTATGTGAGATATAGCAAATATAAGTGTATGAAATGTGATGAATTTCATGCGAATTGTATGTAAAAATGAAGTATTATGAAATTATTTCTTTATTAAAATTAAGGATGATAAATATAGGGACAGGTAATACTCACATTTCCCAAAATATTATAACTGAAAAACATATTCTGTCATTTGTTATTCAACCGTGAAATTACAATAACCTCTGTAAGTAATTTTGAATGGAATATTTTTAAGCAATCATAAATATATAATATCAATGACGTGTGGTTAATACAGTATTACATTCTCTCGTGCAGGTGGCACTGGTATTTGACCGGTTCCTCTTGGCATGCTTCCTGCTTTCCACCGTCATCGCCACCACAACTATACTCTTCTCTTCTCCTCACGGCCCATGACGCCACTTCAGTGCCCTCTTCGGCAGTAATAATGATGTTTAGATTTATTCTCAAACGAACTTGAGGTTTGCGATAATGCCCAAAGACATATTTCGTACTCTGTGTAATATTTGTTAGATTTTGTTTTGGTTATATTTGGTTCCAGTGTGCTCCTAAAGGTGACTGAAAGCTTGCTATGCTCACAAAAACTGTAGACTAATATCATCGTCACACAGTGTTTGATATAGCATTGGTAACCGCCAGGAAAGTCTGCTGCTCCCTAGTTTTTATTTCAGTTAAAACTTTGAAGTAATTCAGTGTGAAGAACGAGTCCCTCTTCACAATTCAGCTTGTGGAAAATGTTTGTGTTAATGATGCACTCAGCTAACTTGGACAAAAGGACCTTTCATACACCCTTGCTCTTCTTTTGAACAGAAATACTTCATACACATTCGTTCGTAATTTAAAAATGAACTTTTTTAAAACAGTAAATAATCGAAATCACCAAAAGTATTTTCAACGCTAATGATATTTTCGTTACATTATTAACTGAAAAAGCCAAATGATCATCGATTTAAAATATTACAAATTCTGATGTGAGTTAACTGCAAAACGAAACATTTTTTCATAAGTGGAAAAGGATAGAATACATCAATGCTGCCACTGAAACTATCGTCATATTATATCCAGTTTATCTACAGAAATAAACTTTCTGAATTTTCGGAAGTGTCTTCATTGCTCATCAGTATAATCCTTAATTAAATCAAAATCAAAGTGAATCCTTTTGCTTTTAAAACTGTTTTTTTCCCCGATTTCCAACACATATGACACGTTGATTGGCTGCACCTTGGAGAAACCTGAACAATTAAGGTTCCGCGTAAGGAACGATGTTTCACTTTGATGATAAACGATGATGCTTTTGAATCGTCAAAAAATTATTAATTAGACTGGATATTATATGAAGCTGGTATTCCTGGCAGCTTTGATATTATCATTCTGAGGCTTTGTTCACCATGTGGAAGATGAATTTCTAATGAAGTTATATACAGATGCGACCGATTTACTCATCGTTTGTATCGGCAATTGGAAGAAAATCATTATAATGAGGAGAATTCAGCTTATTCTGATGAAGACGGGGAAAAAAAATATTGTCAAACGTGATAAGTTGTATTAAATAAATTGGATGAACTGTGAAAATGGTTTTCGTCAGTTCCTTTATTTTTTTTTTCACTGCAATGTTCAATAAATAAAAAAGAAGCAGAATTTTATTTCATTTTAAAAGTTCATTAATGATAACCAATACATTAATGAACTTTTAAAATGTTCATCCTGTTCATAGATAACTCAATATGAAGTATTAATGTTACATACCCGTTCATTCTTGAACTGTTAGAAAAGATAGTTGTCACAGTATTAGCGAATGTATTACCACTATTGATGTGACAATTCTGAGGAATATATTACTACTATAGATGTGGCAGTATTGGAGAATACATTTCTGCTACAGATGTGACAGTACTAGGAAATAAATTACCACTGTACTACCATAACTGCGACAGTTCAGAAGAATATAGTAACACTCTAGGAGTGACAGTACTATAACAATATAACTGAAATCACAATATCTGCACGCGAGTGAAGAGAATATAGGTGTTGCCTACATAATTTTTTTATAACATTTACCCAAGTTGATTTTTTTTTCATATTTAATTAAGCTGGTATGTGAGTCTAACGACATAAACTAATCTTCCAGGTAATTTTCATTGACTGCAAAAATTAGCAACAGTTTGCGTGCCTAACTGAGAGACAGTCATGCTGGACAAATTTTTTTTTGTTAGTATTGTTGAAATTAAAGGTAATGAACAGTATCTCGATACGGCTTTATTGATTTTCAGTGATTGTGCCGTTGTAACCTGAAAGGCTGTAATCATGCTGCCCTTTTCTACCTGCCCCCACATAATGAGGCAAAAGAAGCATAGAAAACAATGCTGTCCATCACATAAACATGCGGATGACACATACAGCCCTGTATGACTTCCACAAAGTGAACCAGGAGGTACATTATAGCTCAGAGAGAGGCTATGGGCATCCTGCTCTGTTTTTGGCACAATATCGTCCAATCAAGAACTCCTACCAGGATTATTATCAGCAGGCTTGTGTGTGATTATCTGCTGCTCGTGTTGGAAAGGGCCAGATGACTCAGTATTTCGTCTCTTCTTTCAGAATC